ACCACCCTAGTGATATGAAAAACACAAGTGAAAAATTTATTTCACGACTACTGCATATCACCGCGAATATCGCGTTTTTCACAGAGTATTACGCCACTTCACATAAAACGGGTCGTGAAACTCCACTGATGATTCTCGCCGAAAATTCCCCACATTTTTCCCCCAGACCTACCTCCCAAACCGTCGTAATTTCCCGTAGTGCAGCAAACAATAGTAACTCTAATTTTGAGTTTTTTCAACCATTTTATTATCGGCAAGAAAAACATCGTTTCGTCGTCCGGATGGGCTACGATGATGGTCGCTGATTTAAATGGGAACTCCTTCGGTGACTTTAGAAATCTGAGAGCATATCTTAGGTTCAAGCGTGCAAGATACGGAATAGGCCCAAAACCCACCTCAGTCCGACTGCTGAGAAAAACGCCAACAACAAAACCGTCATCGCGATACACCCAACACCTCCATAAGAAATCATCCTCAGTGGGAATAGAAAAAGTTGAAGAAAACAACTGCAAATCCTAAGCAGTGCAAAGGGGGGAATATGCACATGGTCAACTACATGTGTTGATAAAAATATAAAAATTCTGAGAAAATTTCGGGAAAAATCGTTGGTTTTTCTAACGCTTCTACCCGAATTCGTATGTGAATTTTCATAATGTATTGAGTAAACTCACGAGCTCAATCGAGGAAACCAAACACGTGTAACCAGAGACCCCAGGTTCGATTCCCAGACGCGTCAGCTCAACACCGCAAGCAGTAACAATATTCGTCTTTACCCAACTGCAACTCCTCCCAAGACCGTATAACGATCATACTAAATCGATTTAATGTAATTACGACGTTCATCATCATCAGCTCGGGCGGTCCCGTTTATGCTATCGAGTAGTGACCACGCTTACTAAGCTGATGATAATATTCTTCACCACTGGAGCATGAAGATTCCAAAGGACGACCTCGTTTACGTGACTAAAGGGAGAAGAGAAAGATACGATCTTGTGCATGCGTGCAAACCACATGTATATGATGTCGTTTATACTTCCCGACTTCGGCGCGAAAAATTCCGATTACGGATTTTTTTACCCATCAACCCATAATCGTCCGTTTTCCACGAATCAAACGATTATTACCTGCACTTCATCATCAACTTCCATCACCACCGCGCCTCTCTGCTCGATAATATCTCTCTGTGGTTGAGGAATCTGTGTCGGCTGATGGGCCCTCGGGAACCACCACGTCGCCATGCTCGGCCTCATAGCCGCCAACACCGACACATCATCAACTGCATGTCCTTCAGCCGCCGCCGCTGGCGCAATAGTAGTGCTGTAGGTCATCGATGATAATAATATAAGATAGCAGTGGAACTAGTCTACTTGGTTTACTACTACAACACCGAGCAGGTAATCCAAAGATCCCCGGTTCGATTCCCACAAAACACAACTTTTCCAGCGTAGGAAACGCCTCACCACCAACACTACTACTTACTACTGCCCGCCGCTACTGCTTGCCTTTTTCGAGAAGCTTGTTTAGACTCCTCTCTTCCTCTCTTGCGAGCCTGAAGACAACAATAAATATTCAGTTAAGTGAAGTGGCGTAATACTCGAGGTGTAAAACGCGATATGAAGTGAATTTAAAACACTTCGCGAATTACACCCGGCAAATCACTCCATATCACGAAATTCACTGCTCACATGCGTTTTTTTGCGAATTTAAATGTAAAATATTCTTCTCACAAAAGCTCTTCATATCACGGGTGAAACTCCAAGAAACCTATTTTGAAATTTACAACGTAAATTTTACCCTCCAAGACCAAACTCTCACAAAATTCTCCAATTTCGTGGAGCGTGAAAACTTACATCAGCAACCCTAGTAGGCTTTAGCCACCACGCTGCCATGCTCGGGTGAGCTATCCTGAGCTTCATCTCATCGCCGAGATTTGCGCGAATCTTCATAACCTCCCCAAACCTCCGTCGCGTCTCATCGCGGTAATAATCAGTTAATCCTAAAAGCGTCCCTACCAGGGATCGAACCGAGGTCACTGGAAAGGCCGCCCACCTCTTCCCCCCACTTCTCTATCACGACCATACTTTTTCCACGCCTCGCTGGCCCTCACTGTGGCGGTCTTGTCCGATGGCAATTCGAGCAAATACGGTACCAAAAGACTTCGATTTCGCTCTTGCCGAATTTCAGGTGATCTTATCAAGTACCTAAACCGCTGTCGCGATGAAAAAAATTTTTTTAATTTTAAAAATTAAAAAAATTCAAAATTTATTAAATTTATCTTAATTTTAAAATTTTTCCCTGAAATTTTCTGGAAATTTTTTTACAACAAATTTTCCCAAGAAAACTCTCGCAAACTTAACAATTGGATTCTAGTTTTTTAATTTTCTCCAGAAATATGAAGAAATAGTGACAACCCCTGTACAAAACAGAACACCGCAAATCAGAATATGCCAATAAAAAAACTTCGCTCCGCCCAACTCACTTCAACGTAGCATACATACTCTCGAAGGCCGCCTTGGTCTCGTGGAAATTGGACAGTTGGGAGGTCAAATCGATGAGATTCTCCAACCACGGCAATAGCCACTGGCGTTTACTCGAGCGTCGCAAGTTGCCTAACCGAGAGGTCCCCGGTTCGATCCCTGGCAAGTGCAGTTTTCTTTACCATCATCAACACTCTCCTCATTCTCATCGATCTCACGACTATATGACCTGAACAAAAACGTCGGCAAAAATGGGCGAAAAATTCCGATTTCGTGTCGTTAAAGAGCGACTAAATGGACTCAACAGAACTAACGATCCTTATATTTTCAGACGGCCACCTGCTCAGTGTTGGAGTAGGAATATATGTTCGCTCTCCTCAGCTGAGCTCAGAAGTTTCTCCCTAATCTTAAAAGTTTACATACAAATTCGAGAGGAAGTCTACAGAAACCAATGAGAATTTTCTAAGAATTTCCATATTGTCACCAACACACATAGTTGAGCATGTGCACCATTTCGCTCAACCGATCGGAATTTTTCGCCCATTTTCCCTAAAACGTCCGTTTTTACTTGGCGAATTCCCACAATAAATCGCCGAGGCTCATGCTGGTGAATGCCGGTTTGCTGTTGTCCCCAAACGCCGCCGTCGATTTGGTCAGCTCCTGAGAAGCCGATCTCTCCTGATCCCGCAAGAAGGTGTTTATCAACGAGATCAGCGAGTAACTGAGAACGCAATTTTGTGGCGCGCGGTCATTCCCATCGTTCGAAATCAAATCGATTTGGTGACGAGTAACACACACATTTTAATGGTTCGATAAAGAGATACGAATATCATCAGTTAATAACAACTGAAAAGGAGAGGTGCTCCCCGAAGATCATCTGAAGTAAATTCAACTACTAAAAAATAAAAATAAAAAAATGAAAAAAAAAAGAAAAAAGAAAAAAGAAAAAAAAGAAAAAAAGGAAACAAAGAAAAAAAAGGAAAAAAAGAAAAAAAAGGAAAAAAAGAAAAAAATGAAAAAAAAGAAAAAAAAGGAAAAAAAGGAAAAAAAACCTAGAGAAAAAATCTAGAGAAAAAAATCTAGAAAAAATTGGGAAAGGAAAATAGGAGGAAAATTATTTATTTTTCTCCAATTCCCCAATGGAAGACCCCCTCCCCCCCGTCCCTACTTATCAAGACATTGCGCTCTACCATCATGAGAGAGCAGCCCTGCTTGAGTGAGATAAGCCGAATTCACCGCAAACCTAAAACACCAACGACTCCACACATCCTCCCACGCCGGTTCGGTCCCCACCAGTGTCAGGAGGAGAATATGAATATGGTCAACTACATGTGTTGGTGACAATATAAAAATTGTGAACAGAAATTATTATCGCTTTTTGGAAATTTCTACCAGAATTCGTATATAAACTCCTATAAATAGTGAGAAAACTCCTGAGCTCAGGTGCCGAGGAAAGCGATTACATATATTCCTACTCCAACACTGTATAGGAAACTCCTGAGCTCAGGTGCTGAGGAAAGCGATTACATATATTCCTACTCCAACACTGTATAGGAAACTCCTGAGCTCAGGTGCTGAGGAAAGCGATTACATATATTCCTACTCCAACACTGTATAGGAAACTCCTGAGCTCAGGTGCTGAGGAAAGCGATTACATATATTCCTACTCCAACACTGTATAGGAAACTCCTGAGCTCAGGTGCTGAGGAAAGCGATTACATATATTCCTACTCCAACACTGTATAGGAAACTCCTGAGCTCAGGTGCTGAGGAAAGCGATTACATATATTCCTACTCCAACACTGTATAGGAAACTCCTGAGCTCAGGTGCTGAGGAAAGCGATTACACATATTCCTACTCCAACACTGTATAGGAAACTCCTGAGCTCAGGTGCTGAGGAAAGCGATTACATATATTTCTACTCCAACACTGTATAGGAAACTCCTGAGCTCAGGTGGTGAGGAAAGCGATTACATATATTCCTACTCCAACACTGTATAGGAAACTCCTGAGCTCAGGTGAGGAAAGCGATTACATATATTCCTACTCCAACACTGTATAGGAAACTCCTGAGCTCAGGTGCTGAGGAAAGCGATTACATATATTCCTACTCCAACACTGTATAGGAAACTCCTGAGCTCAGGTGAGGAAAGCGATTACATATATTCCTACTCCAACACTGTATAGGAAACTCCTGAGCTCAGGTGCTGAGGAAAGCGATTACATATACTCCAACACTTACAAGGGCAGCAACGCTGGGTATTCCGATATATTTTTCTTAGTCACCCGCGTAACTCCATCAGCCTCATCAGCATTCAACCAAATAGCACATCGCAGCCCTCCCCGAGCCGTAGTAGTAAAATAGATAACCGGGCTTAATATTCCACTCGTCAATATCGACCCACATTTCACTGAGGAAATGCAAGATTTCTCAAGATTGCAAGATGTCCCCCCTCCCCTCCTCCTCACCAACTGTAACCTTATTCTCCTTCTCGTTGCTGTCCATGAGCAAACCAACATCACTCAAGTGTGACACGAGCCTAGCCGCACACGCCATGAGCCCTTCCGAGGCGCGGTCTCCAGTACCACTAAAGTGAATGATAATAGTAAACCCGATAGGGTTTGATAAAAATGTTGCTCATGTGATTACATGGGAAACTGATTGAAGAAGAATGTGTTCCTAGCCATACGTCCGAAATTCAAAATGGAGTTCTCCTCGGGAACATTATAGGTTTCCTTGATGATTCCCCAAAGTTAATTAGCGATGACTGTATGAACCTTAGAGCGCTCTAGAAGTAACAACAACATCACTTTTACGACATTCACAACTACAAAATTTCAACACCATTTAAGGGTCTTCACTATACTCTCCCAGCATCGCCTTCCACTTCCTCTAGAGCCAATTCTAGGAGTAGTGTAATACCGTTCCACCCGTGATATGAAAAACACTAATGAAAACCTATCACACCACTTCACTTCAAACAGATGGCGAAACTGTATGGAACATCGCCATTGGTTTTCCCCTTTATACAGTGAGCTCTCCCGTCACTGCGCCACAAAATTAACTCTCCCCTCCTCAGTGTGGGAATGTATGTTTGCTTTCCTCAACTGAGCTCGTAGGTTTCCTCACTATTTTATGAAAAATCACACCATTTTGGGTATAAGTATACAAAAATCAACGATAATTTCGCAAAATTTCCTCAAAATTTCCTCAAAATTTTCCATGATTTTCAGTTGACCATGTGCATATATCCCCCCCGCTGCTACCCCGAAGCGGCTCCCTCTCCTCCTCCTCTAACAACAGCCTTGCCCCCTTTACTATAAAGCTTAGGTACATTATCAACATACAGCTCTATGCAAAATCCATCACGTTCTTCTAGGTTCCCCACACCTAAAGATACCCAAAGATACGCCTCCCGCGCACAGCGAAGATTTCATCAACGAACTCACCCAAACTGTAAAGGCCACACGGCCGAACAGACGCCCATTTCTTCGAGGAGGTGGTAGACGGCTGGTCAGCCCTCAAACACGCTTCTACCTAAAACGCCTCGAAAATTGCAAAAAAAATGCCTGTGAAAATTCCGAGGAAATTTTCGAAAATTCTCATTTCCACCCGAATTCGTATATAAACTCCTATAATTAGCAAGGGAATTCCTGAGATTAGCTGAAAAAAATAAACAAATATTCCTACTCCAACACTGTAAAATTACTATTCTAAAGTCCATCATACACTGTGTTAACCAAACCGTTATATAAAGTAATATTTTCAACACCTTTTCAATTTCTTAGAGTAATATCAACATGATAACAATGTGAATCGATTGACACCAACGTTAAAGTCTATCGTCGTACTAGTCTAAAATTGAGGAAAGCCATCTCGAAAATCTACATATGCATATCTGTTTGCTTTGCACTGTACCTCATCCGCGATGTTTTTCGCCATTTTTCCCGCCTCCATTCTGGTCCCCTTAGGTGTTAGCAAATAATGTTCAGCAAACGCCCATACCTCCTCATGCAATCTAACAAAAATTCAGAAAAAAATATTCGCCTCGAAAATTTCCAATTTCAGCAACACCACGAAGAGTAGAAAAAACGACAACTACTGTTGACCGTTTTAGTGATGGGGGAAAAATTCCCCAAATTTTCCGGAAAAAAATCCAGCTGAACTTGAATCTAGATAACCATAACACGCCTAACCATAATAAGTTCGATACCGATTGCATCACAAATCGTCGCGAGAAATTTCTTGAGATCTATACTAGAGCGGGGTCCCATCATGTTCCTCACCGTAGAACAGGATTCCGATGTCGCTCCTTCTCCATCAGCGAAAATGGTGACGCCATCTCGGACATCTTCCTCAACTCTTCCTCACGGATTTTAATCTCCTCAGGAGTCAATTTTCGTGTAGTAGTTGCAACACCTGATAATGATGAGAGATGCGATAATTTCATGGCGCGTGACGGAATGAACTTTCTATACAGTGTTGGAGTAGGAATATATGTTTGCTTCCCTCAGCTCAGGAGTTTTCTCACTAATTATAGAAGCTTATATACGCATTCGGGGTAACAAGTGCAGAAACCCACGAAAATTCCCCAAAATTTCCTCGACTGTCACCAACACATGTAGTTAGCCATGTGCATATTTTTCCAACACTGATCTGGCGTATCCAGAGGTTGACCATAAAAGATTCAAAATAGGTCCAATTATTACCTCCCGTCTTCTCCTCCACTCCGTCCTCTCCCACCGGCATGTAATTCAACAACGGCTGAGCCCGGCCGATACCACGCCTGACCGTCGACCCCAATTTCGTGGCGCGTGACGATTTTCCCTCTACCCTTCAGTGCGGTCTGCCGCCATCTTCCTTCCCTGCTTATTAAACGCCGACTGAACCCTCAACGAATCCGCTTCCTCGTAACTGCCGCAAAATTTTCCAAAAAATTTCTTCCACGAGGAAAATTTTCCAAAAATTTTTCCACGAGGAAAATTTTCCGAAAAAATTGTTCAACGAGGAAAATTTTCCAAAATTTTTTCCACGAGCAAATTTTCCAAAAAAATTATTCCAGGAGGAAAATTTTCCGGAAAATTAAAAAATCCCACGAAAGGTTAAATTATCCACTAACATAAATCTTCTGGCGTCGAAAAGCTTACGAAACAGAGGTGTTGAAAATATTACTTTATATAACGGTTTGGTTAACACTGTGTATAACTACATAACGACCCTGTGAAAAAAAACAAAGAAAACAGGAAATTTCCAATGAAAATTCCCCTCCTAACCGTCGGCAGAATCGCGAAATATGAACATGGTCAACCACATGTGTTGGTGACACTATCGAGACTATGAGGAAATTTTGGATAATTCTTGTTAGTTTCTGTACACTATTTGTATATTCTCCCAATACGTATATAAACTCCTATAATAACTATTGTGCTCAGCTGAGGAAAGCAAACATTTTTTGCAGTGCTGCTCATCGCCCTACTACAAAGATTGATTTCTCACCGAGAAA